AACTCCTTAACCCATCCACACCATATTTCTCCAAATCCCATAATCATCATAATCTCCAAAAGATGATCCCACGATAATAAATCGTAAGCTTTTTCGAAATCCACCTTAAACAACATCAATGGATTTCGAGAGGTCTTGCTCCAGGCAACCACTTCATTTAAAAGAAAGGGACCATCCAATATTTGTCTACCTTTGACAAAAGTAGACTGTTCCATACTGACAACACTATCAATAACCTCCGCCAGTCTATTAGCTAACAATTTACCAATAATTTTATATTGGCATCCAATTAGACTAATAGACCTAAAATGTTTTGCAGTCTTCGGGTCTCCGGGTCTCTGATTTTTGGGATTTCAAAGTTTGACTACAATACTTTTATATATTATGGATAATGATATAAAAATCTTTAAGTTTTGTAGAAATGTGCGAATTTACCCTTTTGTGGATTTTAGGTTCACTAATATCGGATACTTGCAACTTCTTTTTTTTTTTCGATTTTACCATTTTGTGTATTTTTTGTTTATTAAAGCACTTAGGTTTGGCAGAAATCCTCGGTTACCCTTTTTTCTGGTTCATAAAAATCCTTAAGTTTGGTTTTTTGGTTCATTAAAACCTTTATATTTGGCAAAAATGTTCAATTTTACCGGGTAAATCTATAAAATAAATAAAATCAAAAAAAGAAATTGTAAGTATCCGATATTGAACCTAAAATCCACAAAAAAAAAAAAAAAAGTAACTTATAAGTTTTTATGTCATTGTCCCTTCGGATATTATATTTATTGGCAGGGTTGTTTTTTATACTTTTGTATATTGTAATGTTTCGTCCCAAGACTTTTTGAATTTGATATTTTCACCACAAAACTTTTACATATTGACAGTTATAGTCCCTAGTCTTTTTAAGTTTAGTACAAGATTTTCGTATATTTGCATATTTCTATAATCGGAGTTATTAGTTTATGGCTAATCGGAGTTATTAGTTTATGGCTAATCTAGAATTGTTTACGGCTAATCTAGAATTGTAAATTTTTAATTTTGTACAAAGATTTTGAGGCGTCCTATTCCCACCCTTCTATAGTTCTATAATCTATAGTCTATACTACATCCTGTGGGAATGAATAATCAGTAACATTGGTCTTCTTCCGTTTGACAAAAACTTCAGCCGACCTCCACCGGTCGTCTAAACCCTAAACCCTAAAACCCATTCTGATTTTGTTGAATTAAACAACCAAGCGGCTAATAATGGCGGCGATACCCTCCGCCGGAGCAGAAGCACTCCACCGCCTCAAGCTAGCGGAGCCACCAATGTACCTGACTCCGTCTTCGGAACTTGCTTCCGCCGCTCGTATTGCTTCGGAGCACCTATTCGCTTCGCTCAAACCCTACACTCCTAAATCACCTTTCGACCGCCTCCTTGTAGACGACAAGTTTGATGCCGAGCAGATTTGGCAGCAAATTGACCTCCAATCCCAGCCGTTAATCTCTGCAATCCGCCGTCAAGTTAACAAGTTTGAGAAGGATCCGCAAGAGCTTAAGAATATTTTTAAGAGTGGTGAAACTGAGCCAGAGAAAAAGAGGGAGTTGGTCTTAGAGGGAGAGAAAGAAGAAGACGAAGATGATGAAGACAACGAAGAAGAGAGTGACGACGAGGATGAGGATGAGATGGAAGAAGATGAAGATGAAGACGAAGACAAAGACGGAGTGAGTGAAAACAAAGAGGGAGGTGCAGGTGGAGTTGAAGATAAGTTTTTGAATATAGAGGAGATGAAGGAGTTTATGGAAGATGATGAAGCTAGAGAGTATGGTCTTAATAAAAAGAAACAAGTGGTGAAGAAATTGGCTAGAAAGCATGTACAAGAAGATGAGGAAGATGAAGAAGAAGATGACGATGAAGATGAAGATGACGAGGTAAGCACATTTGTAGGAAGAATGATAGACATTAGAAATCGATTCACATTCTAACTTCCAAATTTTAAACTAGTTAATCTAGCCTTTTGACTTGAGTTGGGACTACTTCCTTACATAAATCTTTTATACCTTCTGGTATATTACACAGTTGGAGCTCGTTTAATACCTATTTATATCTGAAGTTATGGAATTGAAGTATCCGTTTATCTAATCATCCTACTTGGTTATTGTAGCTTGGAGTTCTTGGAGAAGAAGACATGTCAGATGCTGAAGACGCTAGGTGATCTTTTATCATTCACTCATGTTGTGCGATATTATACAATATGATCCCAGCCATTCATTTGCATGTCCTGAAAATATGATTTTTTTTTTCTTTGGCAGATATGAGGATTTCTTCACATCCAAAAAGCCACGCGACCAATACAAGAAACCTAAACAAAACAAGGAGGTGGAAAATGTAGACATGGGCGATGGAGAAGAAACTGAGGGTTCAGATGCAGGTGATGAAGATGAAGATGAAGAAGATGATGAAATGGGGCCTGATGATGAGGTAATATCTACAATCTACATGTTCATAAGATGTGTTGTTTTTGTTGTCAAGACTATTGAGTAATGTATCTTTCTTCTCAACTCTTTTAGATGAAGACAGACAATCTTTCTACTCATGAGAAGCAGCTCTTAGAACAGCGTGCCAGAATAGAAGAAGTTGAAAGAGAAAACCTGGAAGCAAAGTCATGGACAATGCAAGGAGAAGTACAGAATCTTGTTTATCTGAAGCTTTTGTGACTTGTAGTAGTTCTCATAATAACTTGTTTGCTTATTTAAATACATGGTGACAGGTAAATGCAACTAAAAGACCTAAAAATAGTGCTTTGGAAGTTGATTTAGACTGGGAACGCAATGCAAAACCACCACCAGTAATCACAGAGGAAGTTTCACAGTCCATTGAAGAAATAATCTTGAAAAGAATATCTGAGGTAAAAATGATGCTAAAAGATATAGTAAAAACTGAATGTAAGCATGCATGTTTTATCTTTCTGATAAGCAACATATGTGTTGTAACTTTTTCAGGGACACTTTGATGATGTTCAAAAGGCTGCTACTTTACCTTCTAAAGCACCAAGGGAAATGAAGGAATTGGTAAAACATCACTCAACAGTATCTAACTGATGCTCATTTTTATTAATCCTTGGTTTTATGTTTATGTTGTGTTTGTTGGTGAATAAATGTTTTTTAATGTTATATGTGCAGGATGAGAATCAGAGTAAGAAGGGTCTTGGTGAAATATATGCGGTTAGTAGTATATTCTTCTTGGTTTATTTGGTTCAAAGATAACTTCTTTTTAATTTTGCTTATTATCTTTGTGCAGGATGAGTATGCTCAAAAGACTGGCCTGGTTTCACAAGCCTTGACGTTCTCAGATGAGCAAAAGAAGGAGGTAACTTTTTTTTATTTTTTTACTTTAGACAATGTTTTATTTTATAATTATACCATAAGTTTCTCATTTTATACAGGCAAGCGTTCTTTTCAAGAAACTATGCTTAAAGTTGGATGCTTTATCGCATTTCCACTTCACTCCAAAACCAGTATGTTATTATTTCAAAATTTCAACCAACATTTTTTAAACTCCCTTAAATTCTTATCTAACTAACTAAAAATAACATGAACAGGTGGTTGAAGACATGTCTATTCAGACAAATGTACCTGCCCTAGCAATGGAAGAGGTATAATATAACATTTTCACTTTTCTTCTACATTTAAATTTGTTTATTTAAAAAAATATATATATTGGATTTTGTTTTTATGTGTATAGATTGCACCTTTGGCGGTTTCGGATGCAGCTATGCTGGCACCTGAGGAGGTGTTTTCTGGGAAAGGAGATATTAAAGAAGAAGCTGAACTAACACAGGCTGATAGAAAGAGAAGAAGAGCTACCAAGAAAAGAAAATTCAAAGGTATAGAATATAGATAGCCCTTGTTTGTAAAACCATTTATCTGAATTTTATATTTTTATGTGTTGGGCTTCATTGTCTGATTGGAATGATGATGTGGCAGCTGAGAATGCAAAGAGAGTGATAGCAAAGAAGCCACAAGAAAGCACAGAGACAGCTGGCACTGGTGATTATTTGTGTTATAAAGTCTTTGGTGACTCTATGTAATTGTAGTTGTTTAATTTTGTTTTTTAATGCTGCAACAGGCAAGGAAGAATGATATGAGTTTTTGCAGAAATTTTCTGTTGAAGAACAGATGGAAGGTGATTGTGAAGAGCTGTAGCCTCTAGCCATGACTTCTGGTTTGATCCTTCTTCCATCTGGAAAGTTTTGTTCTAAATATTATAAAGGTGAAGAAGATGAGTAATAGTGTATCTGTTTTGGTATAAAGAATCTCATTTTTAGCAATTGGTTTGATTACCCGATGCACATCTTGTAAACACAATGAATTATTAGTTTAGCCAAAGAACATCAAAGTGTTGTTTCTTTTTTACTTTTATTGTGTTGATGTTGAATTTTATTACTTCATTCTGTTAATGTTGTTGAATTTTATCAGTTTAATTGGACACAATTGACAATGCCATATCTCTGTTTTTGTCATCACACCATTCCAAAGATTGAGATACAACCAACTTTCGTGTCACCAAATGCCTTACAGAAAATAGATTCCACATAGTAGTTTTCTTTTCATTACCACGAAAGCACTTTACTCAATCATCTTCACTTGGTCCATGTTTGGCTAAAGTTCAAAGAGAAATCAAATTCTTCTGAAGATCATGATCATACCGTATACTATTATCACCCAACTTTACCTTGTCGCTTCATTCCTTGAAACAAACAAATAAATAACGTGAGAAAGTCATATGAGGAGATGCACATGTGTCCAATGTATTTAAAATGTCACTTGTGTCTCCTTGGGAACAATCTTGAACCACAGACACTGCCATAACCACTTGATTCTGCATTGGGATTTTCCTTTTTGTGATGTGGACAATCTCGGGCGTGTTCGGCACGGAGCGTTTTGGAGCGTTTGAGAGCTTCTAGCTTCTAGCGTTTGACAAAACGCTCCGTTTAAAACAAAAAGCCTCGTTTGACACTACAAGCTTCTAGCGTTTAGTTTAATCAAAACGCTCCAAATCCAAATGCTACTTCACGTAGCATTTAACAAAACGCTACAAACTACAAGCTACCCGCTACCACCTAGTTTTGCCGAACACATCCCTCGTCTAAAGTGTTCTCATTCTTTACACTAATATCATGTGACTTTAGCAAAAGCTATGGATTTGGAGCATGACTTTCCCTTGTTTCCATCATCTCTATCTTGTGTTTTACCCTGCCCACAAAGACCAAAATCATAACCCTCTTTTTTCTCGTAGAAAATTTAAGTTTTAGTTCCTTAGACAATATAGCATTCTTCATGTCATTTAACAATAATCGATGATTTACTATACAACATGATATCAATGAAATTCTCACATGAATTTGACAAAGAACACGACTGAATAAGAGCTTGATCATTACCTTCAATTTAGCTTCCACGCCTTGTAAATCAAGAATAATTCAACTGAAATTATACATATGATATTTTACCTTAGTACCTTCTGTCATCCGCATGGTATACAAACGTTTCCTTTGATACAACTGATTTGTGAGAGTGCTATTATGATACATGTCGGAAAGTTTCTCCCATAGCACATCAACAGTCGTTTGATCCACAATATCCCATAGTACTTTATCGACACTTTTTCCAAAATATCCCTCTCCGCATCCGATGTCGTCTCCTTCGGTAGTTTCGTCTCTCCTTCCAATATCGCCACACAACCCTACTGAACCATAAGAATGTAACATCCCAAAATTCAATACCAAAAATTTTATTTTTAATTTAAAGGTTCATAAAACAGATTACTGAAAACGTCATCAATGTTATCTCATATCATGAAAAACCATAAGTCAAATATCTCAAAAACATATCATAGAAAAATAACGTCAGAGTACAAATCCCAAGAATCTCATGTGCAAAAAATCGTGTGTGTGAAGGGGTGCTGTCATGCCGACTCCTTTCCCTTCGAAGAAGAGGTATCTGAAACCAAAACTGTAAACCGTAAGCACGAAGCTTAGTGAGGTCCCCCATCATACCACATACCATACTATAAGCATACTGTCAGACATATTTGGGTGTCCGACCTACCCTGCTGAGCATACCGGGGTGCTCAACCTACCCCTGTTAGGCATACCGGGGTGCCCAACCTACCCCTGTCAGACATACCGGGGTGTCCGCCCTACCCCTCCGGTTTATCTCAACCGGTTACGGAGACTATTTCACCCCTACCACTACCACATAATAACATATCATAAACGTACTGCTAGGAATATATGGGTACTGTCTACCCCTTCAGTCTCTTTCAACCGGTAACCGGGGACTATTTCACCACTCCTATTACTATCACATAATATCATAGCATACTAGCACATAAAGCATAACAGATAGTAGCATACCAGACAATTATCACAAAGACAATCATCTCAACTATAATCACCTACTAGTGGGCCGACCTTGGTGCCTTATACTCACTTCTACTGGAAGGTAACTCACCTCAAATGTCGTGAAGTAGCTGAACTGTCCTCGGCTCTGGAATAAACTCTACTCAAACTCTTACACATACAAAGCTCCTTTAATTACCTTTTCATACTCATAACCCCCTTAAGAGTCAACTCTGGTCAAAGTCCAAGTCAAAGTCAACGTTCTGGTCAAAGTCAACCTTCTGGGTCGAGTTGAGTCAATCAACTCGCCGAGTCCCATAGATCATAAACCTCTTAAATCGCGATCCAACTCGTCGAGTCCTTGCACGAACTCGTCGAGTTTCTCCTATCAACAGAATCGGGACATTTCACTACAACTCGTCGAGTTCCTCCTTGAACTCGTCGAGTTCTTCAATCTTCAAAACCCAAAAACCATGGCCAACTCGTTGAGTCATCTCCTAGACTCGCCGAGTTTGCTTAATAACAGAAAAGGTTGGGGAACCACGATCCAACTTGCCGAGTTGGATGAACAACTCGTCGAGTCCCCTTTAGTCTAAATCCATTCAGTCACTTCCAATCGAGTTCAACGCTTTCAAACCATAGATTTGGTCATATAGGACTAAGTTACCATGTAAAGTTGCTAACTTTACATCCATGCATGGTGTCATGAAGCTAGAAACACCAAAACTAAGCTATATAAGAGATCTAGGGCATGAAGAAGGGCCAAGGCTTTATAAAGCTGGCAACTTTAAGCCTCAAAAGCTCATTAGGGCCTAGATTTGAAGTCACAACTTCATGATACTCTCAAATCCCGAAAATGACTTCAATATGGCCCAAAAGTGACAACATATTACCCTAGAGGAAGATCTAAGTAATAGAGAGCCAAGGTATCAACTTTATACCTCAAATGAGTCAGAAATGCAGCTCAAACTCTGGATCTACTAGCTTCCTCTTGAATCCCCAAGCTTCTCCTTCTTTCACAAGCTTCAAAATCACAAAGAATGCCCAAAATGGATCAAAACTCTCCAAAAGTGGATTAAGGTTTCTTGGCTAGGGTTTGGGACGATGGAGGCTGTAAATGAGGCCAGCCTTTGGAGGTTAAGGTGTTTAAATAGGGTGCTAAATCCTGAAAATTAGGGTTTCATTTTGGCAGCCTTACTCGTCGAGTTGAGGCTCTCGACTCGACGAGTAGGCTTTAAATCCCGCGTCTAAATTCCATTCCTACTCGACGAGTTTGGGGCCTCCAACTCGTCGACTTCCTGTACAAAAATGAATAAATTGATTTAAAATACATACCAGGAATCGGGCGCTACAAAGAAGCTTCATCTCCACCTTCCAAAGTCATTTGATCAATCCAACTTCTTCAAATCAAACTTACTCTATTCAATCAACAAATCTAGCTGCTTGAATAATCATCGATTGCTCTGATACCACTTGTTGATCAAGCAATCAAAGAAAGGCAATAAAAAGAACACACATAATTAATGTGTTTGGTCGATGTGACCTACGTCCACGAGCATGTACATTCGAACTCTTCTATGACTCAAATGTTTCAAAAGTGATACATTGGAAAAACCTAACTACGAATATTTATAACCATAAAAACCCTAACTATTGCTAGAGGGTTGGACACACGTACAAGAAAATCCTAAATAACTAAAAAGGTTCATACCATAGGAGGGTTCCACCCCTCGCAACCCTGGTGGGATAAGTGTTTGTCGTGTACGACTTTGGGCCTAAAGACCCTCATCCTACTTTAAACATTTATCCATTCGAAATCACAATTCAAGTTTCGTCACTTCGTTTAGAGTCGGGTTATCAATTTGCATCACCAAATTCTAAATCGCACTTTAACATCATTCAATTTCAAACACCGCCCCTTGGACTTGCTAATTCCATATATAATTTACCTATGATGTATTGTATTTATATTTTCATTATTTTTGTCGATTCAGTTCCAGTTTTACATGAAAAACATAATAAAACCAATAAAAATTAGAAACCACGCCACCATTATTATTAATTGTTTGGTTATAATGGTTATTTCGATCTTGCTTTCAGTGAATAAGAACATCTCCAATGGTAAATTATGTTATGACTCAAAATAATTGAAACATCATCATTCCACTAACTTTAACCTCTAATTAAATAATTTTTCCAATGGTTAATTTTTTTTTCAATACACTTTTTTATAAATTAAACTAATTTATCACTATATATCGAAATTTTTCAATAACCAAATATTTGGTCATCTTTCTTATAACTGTCACAACACCAAAGGATATAAATATGTTAAACTTAAAGTTTTGTCTGATGTATCGGATATACATTATAGGATTTCTCCATTACCTAAAGGTAGACCTGGCAATGAGGTGGGTTTGGAGCGAATCGACCTTGATCCAAACCCTTTTAACAAATTTCAAAATCCGATCCAAACCCGCTCCGTAACCCACAAAGTTTTGAATAATCAAATCCATACCCTTATCCACCGAATCAACGAATATCCAAACCCGCCCCGTAACTCATAGGCTTTTTGAATTATCAAACACATTTTACTTAATTCATAAAATAATACTTCTTAAATAAAACAAATGTTGATTTAGAAAACACATTACGTACTCGAGGACTTCCGATTGGAATTAAAAATCACTATTGTAGTAACTTCTGATTTATTTTTTACTGTCAATTGTAGTGATAGAGAATAGCAATGACAAACTTTCTTTCATTTGATGAATGAATTCAATTTATGAATGAAATATGATGATTTCTTGCTGAAATATAAATGAAATGACATTATAATTCTTAGTTGAAGACTGGAAGTCTAGAAGTCGACTCCTCGATTCTTATGTATAAACAGTTTGGACTTTGGCATTATTCCTTTGGACTTTCAATTGGAATTAAAATTAAACTTTAAGAAATATAAAATATAAACCAATAATTCAAAATTTATACGGGGC